GCAAGGAGTGGGATAGCTGGGTCAAATGGTGGTTCCATTCCAAGTTTTCCAAGGAATCTCCATACTGCTTTCCAGATTGGCTGCACCAATTTGCAGTCCTACAAGCAACGTAGGAGTGTGCCTTTTCCCCCACATCCTCGCCAACACTTATAGTTGTTTGTATTTTTCTTAGCTGCCATTCTGACCGGAGTGAGATGAAATCTTAGTTTTGATTTGCATTTATCTAATTGCTAGAGATGTTGAACATTTTTTCCATATGTTTGTAATTGATTGTATATCTTCTTCTGAGAAGTGTTTGTTCAGGTCCTTGGCTCATTTATTGACGGGGTTATTTGTTTTTTTGGCGTTAAAGTTTTTGAGTGCTTTATATATCCTAGAGATCAGTGCTCTACCTGATGTGCTTGTGGTAAATATTTGCTCCCATTCTGTAGGCTCTCTATTCACCTCACTGATTGTTTCTTCTGTAGAGAAGAAGCTTTTTAGTTTGAATCCATCCCATTTATTGATTCTTGGTTTTAATTCTTGTGTTATAGGAGTCTTATTAGGAATGTCAGGACCTAATCCAACGTGATGGAGATTTGGGCCTACTTTTTCTTCCATTAGGTGCAAGGTCTCTGGTTTAATTCCTAGGTCCTTGATCCACTTTGAGTTGAGTTTTGTGCATGGTGAGAGACAGAGGTTTAATTTCATTTTGTTACATGTGGATTTCCAGTTTTCTCAACACCATTTGTTGAAGAGGATATCTTTCCTCCAATGTACGTTTTTAGTGCCTTTGTCTAATATAAGATAGCTGTAGTTATGTAGGTTAGACTCTGTGTCCTCTATTCTGTACCATTGGTCTACAGGTCTACAGGTCAATACCATGCTGTTTTTGTTTCTATTGCTCTGCAGTGTAGTTTTAGGTCTGGAAGAGTAATGCCTCCAGCTTCACTCTTCTTGCTAAAAGATTGCTTTGGCTATTCTGGGTCTCTTATTTTTCCAGATGAATTTCATGATTGCTTTTTCTATTTCTATAAGGAATGCCATTGGGATTTTGATTGAGGTTGCATTGAATCTGTATAGTTGTTTTGGTAGTATGGTCATTTTGACAATATTAATTCTGCCTATCTAAGAACAAGGAAGATCTTTCCATCTTCTAAGATCTTTTTAATTTCTTTCTTTAGCATATTGTAGTTTTCATTGTAGAGGTCTTTCATCTCTTTTGTTAAATTTATTACCAAGCATTTTATTTTTATTTTTTTTGAGGCTATTGTAAATGGGGTGGTTTTACTAGTTTCTCTTTCAGTGGAGAAATGCCTTTGATTTATGGGTGTTGATCTTATATCCAGCTACTTTGCCGGATTCATTTATTAKTTCAGGAGATTCCTGGTGAAATGTTTTCGGTCTTCTAGGTATAGAATCATATCATTTACAATTGAGTTTTTCTTTTCCTGTCCATATCCCTTTAATTTCTTTTGTCAGTCTCATTGCTCTGGCTAGAGTTTCAAGAACTATGGTAAATAGAAATGGTGACAGAGGGCACCTCTGTCTTCCTCCAGTTTTTAGAGGGAATGCTTTCAATTTTTCTGCATTAAAATTATTATCTTCAGCAAAAATGTAATGTCAACCAAAATGAAATGGAAYGTGGTTAGCCATGGTTACTAAGTCTTAGATTGGAGAAGGCATGGGTGAATAAAACCTCTTCCACACTGTTGGTAGGGTAGACAGGGGCAAGAAATTTCCAGAGGACAATTTAGATAAACCTCTMCAAAACTTTAAAATTCTAGTCTTTGTATTAACTCAGAACTTTTATTCTTATGTGGTTATGTCAATAAAAATTAATACACCTAGCTGTAGGGATTATCATTACAATWATAATAGTAAAGACTGCAAATAATCATGTAAAATAAATTATGGAGAGTTGATATACTACTTAATATCATGAAAAACTTCTACCATAAATGGTCCTGTAAAACGAGCAAATTACTTAATAAGTACAGGAATATAATTACATATATATATAATATATACGTATGCATATGTAATTTTATTTCTATATACATATATATATATATATATATATATATACAGAAAGTTTGGGTTTTTGCAAATAAGTGTGTCTATATTTGAGTATGTATGTAAATGCATGTTAACACATAAACATATATATGTATATATGTACATATATTTCTAACTAAATAGACACAGACAAGTATTAGTAATAATTATTGATAGGAAATAAGAATATAAGTGATTCTAATTTTATGTCCTTTCATGAATCTACATTTTCTAAAATTTTCACAACAAACACATATTAACATAGGAGTAAGAAAACATGAAAAAAAATACACTTTTACACTTTAAAACAGGTATGCTTTCCTTAAGGCAGCAGAAATCCCTTTTTCACATGAAATCTTATGTGAAAACCCAACTCACAGAAGCTATAGAATGTGTGAAGCAATGGTGGCAGCACTTGGTGGATGTCCTTGAAGACCCACTTTGGAGGGTCAGGGCTAGAGGATTCTGTACCATGCACACTGCCACCCGCTCTAGGAGTAAAGTGCTTTTAGTGAGCCCTGACCATGTAAGCGAGGCCCGTGACCTCTGCCTGGTATGTAATAACTCATAAACTAACAGCCCATTCCATTTTAATTCACTGCATTCCATATTATACATTCATTTATTGAGCATTAAAAATTTTCCCCCAGATTTTAACTTTGCATCACATTAGTTTACCTATGGACTAGAACTAAAAGATTTTATCATTACATTGGGAGGAACTTGGAGGATTATACTTGATACCACCAGCCTCAGATTTCCTTGAAGGTCAATATGAGAAATGACCACAGGAAGAATGAATCTCCATCTTCTCTAAAAGTAGCATTAAATACATTTTTCCATTCTGATGTTCAAAGTTCCTTACATAAGGATGCATGTGATAAATTCTCCTAAAATTTTAGTACTGGAAAAAAACGTTTGCTATTTTTATAAATAAGTGTGATTTCCTTTTATAATGCTGTTTTATTCCTATATATCTCCTCATGTTTCCCTTTTGACTTTGTCTTCCAGAAAGCTCAGAATCATGTTTATTGCCAAGTTATAGAAACAAACAGCTGCCCTATCTTGCAGAAAAACTCTCTCAGAACACTTTTGTATTTATCCTCAACTAAATGGTCCCATGATATGCATGGCTCATGTTATGTGATTTTGAGATAGATAATTTTCACACACAGAAATGCACTGTATGACTCTTAGGCAATARTGTGTGTGTATGTGTGAGAGAGAGAGTATGTGCATTAAACTTCAACAGCAGACTAAAAGACATTCAGTGGTTTAAACATACTTCTTTACCTTTCAGGAAGGTCCAATGTTTAATTCTTATTGTCAGCTTTACTTAGATCATTTTACAACAAGTACTAAATAGGGCACAGAATATGGGGACAGGCCCTCAAGTTTTTGGAATGACAATGATATCAATAGYTTATCTATGTTATTTCATTTAAGGGACATGATTATTCTTTTGGTGTGTTGTTTTTTCTGAGATGCATAATAACATGGCAATGTACTAACACAGTAGAATTTGCACTAAAAATAATTTAGGTACAAGGACCTAATAGGGGTGGAATMTTGATCATTGGAATTGGGAGGCAGCTTTCTGTTCTAGCACCAGCACTGTTGAGGCTCTGCAGTAAGTTTGGTCAGTTGATGAGAGAAGAAGGCTGTCACTGCTAAAACAATTTGCCACAGCATTCACAAGAGAGCCCAAACCAGCCAGAATCAAGCATACSAGGCAGGCTCCCAGGACTCTATCTTCCCACTCTTGGAGGTCTGCATAATAATCCACAGGTGAGCTTCCATCAAAGTAGTGATGCTTGGTATTCAAGAGTCCAGAATCTGGACTTCYATTTCCTAAATTTAAACCCTAGTTTACCACTCAATGTTGACTGAGTAATATGGGGATAGTGTCTTATTTTGAGTCTTTCTGTAAATTAATGAGATCGTCAGTTAAAGGCAGCCAGCCAGAGCCTGGCTCATGGTCCATCTTCAATTTAGGTCAATTTTTATTGTTATTTGTTATTTAGACTTAAAGCATCACCTACTAAAATGCAAGTACCCAGTGAAGCATGTCTCATTAATGGTTAATACTTGAGCAGAGATTCTCACCATGTGACTGTCAGTTAAGATGCAGAAGGCAGCAGCAAGGGATTCAGGTTTGAAACCTGGGAGAAGCAGGGAATCAGCCTTTAGGAGAGAAATAGCTCTGACATTTGCTCRGAGCCTCAGTGATTCTTCTACATGGAAAAGCACCCAATCACTGCAGCTACTCAAGCGTAAACCCTCACAGTCACAGAAAGGCGACCTAATTGTGGAAGCCAGATCACAGGATCCATGGCCCTCGGGCCTTGGGACTGCCCCTATATCAGCTGCCCCACCTCAGAGGACTCCCTACGTGGACTTTCTGTGCTAAGAGACATACAAGTGCAAAGCTGCCACCTTGAATCTGTGTTTTCTGACTTGCCAAGCGCACAGGCAGAGATTGCAAACACTAGTGTGTGGGAGATGGCCATTCCTGGGGAGGCTGTCTACATTGGATCCTGTGCTRACGGCAGGTGGAAAGTCAAGGTCTTTCTCTATGGAACAATTATGTGTGTACCCTTTCCCACTAAGTGCAGACTTCCATTTGTAAAGTCATCCATCACCCCTATAAATCAGTCATCTCAACACCCTCTCCCATCCAGCAAGGAGAGAAGAGCATTTTGGAGACATTCTATGAAGCTATTATGTATAAAATGGATGGATTATTATTATGATTTCTCCCCAGGGTACCAAGGAGAGGCTGATTCTGAACAAATCATTCACATTCACTCCTTGAGAGAGACTTCATTTCACTTCCTGCTGGGTCAGGGAGGAGTACACACCTAGACACGTGCATACACACACACACACACATACACACACACACACATACACACACACACACACACACACACACAGCTCCCTGTGTGGCATGAAGTACTGACCTGTTAGGCCGGCAGCCTCGGCGGACAGGAAGGCACTCCAGGACAGGAGGAAGAACAGGCCCGTTTCCAGCATTGGGAACTCACACAGTTTGGTAAATTTGGTCAAGTGATAAAATGTGTTAAGGGAAACACCAACTGGTTTGACAGCTACATCACCGTACTGGCTGAGAAAAGCTGATCTGGTAATGATATTTCAGAGTGAAAGACTGATTTTCAGTGCCAATCTCAGTGGGCCCTTCTCGAAGACCAGAGCGAATTCCATGCTTTGCTGGGGGCTGAACATGCCCATGAAAATAATTCAAACCTGTGTTCAAATAGCAGAGGTGTCTAGGAAGAGTATAAACCCAGCAAATTGTGGGTGCAAAACCTCTGGAAGTTGGCCTCAGGCCATGCGTGGGGTGTGCCCTTAGGAGAGCTGTGGCAGGTACCCAGGAGCCCAGGAGAGGATGGCTAGAAGGAGATCCCCAGGGAGCAGCCTGGCCTTCCCCTGTCCTGTGTGGGCTGGCAATAAAGACAGTGCCCGTTCCCACAGTGTGGAGAGTGGCATGAGGTGAAGTTGCTAAAAATGTTTTGAATGGTTTAGAAAGCACAGAGTGCCAGGAGGCAGGATGACCTYGGTGGCCTCGGAAACTGACTCCACATGGGTTTGTATTCACCATATCCACATTTCTTGACCCCTCTTGGCTTCTGATGTCCTTTCAAAAAGTGGAGGTAATACTACAGTCTACCTCATTGGCAGTTATACCAATTAGTACATGTTAAAAACTCAGAAAAGCACCCTGCAACAAAAGTGATATTAATTTTTTTTTTCTGTTAGCGATATAATTTTTTTTTAAAAAAAATCTTTGCTGAAAATAGAACTAGCAAGACCCCCAAAGCAACTCTATGGAGTGAAAAAGGGCTGCCCTTAGGTCTCTTTCAAAACCCCTTTTGTGGCTTGGAGGAGGGAAGCCTTTGTTTCTAGAGGAATTCCTCAGAATTCCTCTTCTGATTTGTCTTAAAGAGGAAGCTCTTAAAAAAAGAAATAAGTAAATATAAATATATTCATAAATATATAACCTAAATTATATATATAAAAAAGAGGAGGCTCAGTCCAAGCTTAAGTAACAGGATCTCAAAGGGCTACAGGGCCTTCTTTTTACTTAATCACCTCTAGAAAGTGGCTGGGTTCTGAGTTAACCCCCAGGTGCAGAGCCTGGAGCTACAAGCTGAGGAGACTCTGCCTCAGTCAGGAAGGGAGATGAGGGGATGCAGGTGGAGGGACAGCAGTGCACCTGCCTCCCTCAGGCCTGTTGGCCCTGTAAGTCCTAGCTGTGCAGCCTTAGCCAAGTTGYTTAACCTAAATTATGCTCCTTCAGCTGTAAACTTGAGATAATAACAGCACCTGCCTTTGGGCATCCTTGCAAAATCTGAGATAATCCATGCAAGATGCTCAGGGCAACTTCTGGCACATGGTACACCTCTCAATGAACATTAGATGATATTAGTAGTGTCATGTTCATTGTTACTAGTGCATGACCCTCCTTGACTTCCTCATGCCTCAGTTTCCTCTTGTGCAAAGTGAGGATGATAATAACCTGCCCTACAAGGTTGATCCAAATGAGGCGGTGCATGGCCAGACACTGCCTAAGTGTTCCTGTCACCATTATTATTGCTCTATTCTAAACCACACATGACCTTCAGGGCAACTCCAGCTAGTGATTAAGACGCAACAGGAAGAAGTGGTTTGGGAGTATGCATTTTCACTCTGGGCTCACCTATTGATGACAGGGCTTCGGCCCATAGCTTATCCTTTCTAAGCTGTTGGTACCCAATAAATATAAGCACTGTTGATATGGTGGTGTGCAGGTTAGTTGAGGATGGCACTTCATCGTGAACAAGCAGTAGAGGGCCCGACATACCACAGCACTGGGTAGGATTACTTTTGCTGTTGGAAACCAGTTCTGACTTACTTTATTTCTCTCAGGGGAGGTGTCGTTCTCCAGGGGTTCCAGGACCGAGCTTTGGTGTAGACTTTGAGTCTCCCCTTCTTCATCTCTTGTGAACAACCTGTCATAGGTCCCAGAGATTCTCCTTTTTAAACATTGGGTTCCATTCTGATGCTTCTTCACAGTTCACTATGGTTTTTCTCTTGGTTCGAATCCCTTTCCTTTGACCCATCCCCTGGACCAGATCCCCTCTTGTTAAAAACAAGAGAGTCCCTCTTCTGAGCAGAAACCTTCAGCAGCTAGTTGTGGACCACAGAGCGAGAGACTCAGCCTCTTAAAGAACATTCCAAGGTATTCCACAGCAGCCTCCATCCCACTTGTATGAACTCATGGTCCATTTCTCTTCAGCTGGAGCCCTCTGGTCCTCTAAGGCTCATCTGCCATGTGCAGCCCCAGTCAGTCCCATCTCCACCAGGGCAAATGCTGGTCTTCCCTTCCTGGGGTACTTACTGCATAGCCCTGGCCTCTGTCCTACCTATCTTTGAGGCCAAGCCCAGGTCCCTCTCTGCATAAAAATACCACTCTTCAAATTATTTTTTGGAATACAAGAGTCTCTTGGACTATTCCAGACACAGTCGTCTTTCTCTGAATTTTTACAGTCCCAATAGCTTGCATACAGCTTTGGCACTTTCTATCCAGTTCTCAGTGTGGAGCTTGTCTTCCCAAGCTTGCCATTCATTGTGGGCAGAGACCATATTTTATTCATCCTGACTCTTTGTAGATACCCTCATTAGAACGGAGCCTTTTAGCAGCTGTTCAGTGAATCTCAGGGCCAGTCCTCATGGAAAAAGACTCCAACAGTTTGCATTTCTTACCTTGGGCTCTGATCCCTTGTGGCCACATTCCTTTCTTCTCTTTCCTCTGGTATTTTTGGCCATCATTTTTTGTCTTTTTGTGTCTTCTCTCTGGCCTCAAGTCCTCAGAGTTGACATTGATCCTCTGGCTTTCTTCCCCAACTCTGACTTACTTTTGCCCCATCCAGCTATTCTGGGTGAAGAGCATACTAGAACAAGGACACTCCCACCCCACCCAGGATCCTTCAGGAACTCCACCCATCCTCCCTACTCCCTAACATCAAAGAAAGGATCCAAGGACACAGTGTCCCAGATATGGCAAAGATATCATTTCAGCATTGTTTGCAGGTTCCCTTCTATAAAGTAGTTATGGATACTTTTTAAATCCGTAGTGATATCTGGCTTGGCTTATCCTGTAGGCTAGTGACGGTCACAAGCATGAAAAGGAGGCAGAGCCCAGCCAGGTTATCACCCCCAGTTCATCCTATGTTCATGATGCTGGACCTTTAGTTCTTCCTCTCGACCCTAGGATAGCCAATCCTGATGTTCTCTGCCCACTACTTTCCCTACATTGTATTTTTTAAAAGGCTGTTGATAGTCTAAGATCAGACATGATCAAGAGTACTAGTATTGACCCTGGACAAGAAAGATCCTGGCTCCCTCTGCCATGGGTGCCAATCTGTGCCTCCTGGGGCGATCACTCAGAACCAAGATGGACTTAGCAGGGCTTTATCCAACTTGAACCATTTACTGGCCTGGAGGTTGTTCAGCCTCAGAAACATTCCACGGATACTGGGTGCTCTCAGAAGACCCCAGCTTTCCACAGACAGATAAAGGATATCAGTGCTGTGACAACAGCATATGCAGACCCCATTGCGAATGAGCCAGCGAAGATCCCCAGGAAATTCCCCACAGACTGGAAGAACGCGGCGGTGTCAAATGCATTTGGATTCTCCTTGGGACTGTAAATGGATATAGAACTGAAAAGACAAGAGGAAAAGCTAGTCAGTGACTTCCATCTTATGGCCCAGATAAGTAGTTTCACAGTCCCCACCCCCTTTGGGAGAGACACTCTGTCCTATAATTTGGGTGCTGCTTGGAAGGGTTGAGGGGGAAAGGATGAAGAGGAAAAAGAGGTAGAGAAAGCAGAAAGCTTTCTCTTACCTTACAGCCCAATCCCATGGTATCCATATATTTCTGCCAGTCAGTAAACATTTTTATATTGGAAGGGTCATAAAGAATATTGTTTCTGAGCAAACTAGGCATTAAAACATGGTAGGTGTATACGGAATCTGCTGAGAAGATAGATAACTGTGAATTATTTAGTGGCCATATGTCTTCAGTGCTGTTATATATTCACAAATGTTCCTGATAAAAAGTGCACTTTTATGGCCTGTGCACAAATGGGTGATACAAATCACGGCGTGCACAAAATATTCTGCGGTGATCTTGTCATAAACCACAAAGCCTTCCTCTCTCCAGCATAACCCTTCAGAAACAGAGCCCTGGTGGCATTCAGAACATCACAATATTAACCCCCAGGGAGAGACAAAACCCTCATCTTCCCACCATAACAAATGGCAGCAGCTGCCCAAGGTCATCTTTTATACCCCAATTCTGGTGGCTGCCAACAGATTTATTTCCATAGAGAAAAATCAATCCACCAATAAGCAGTCTGTTCACTTAAATATTTTTGAGAATATTGTACTTTTTTTAAAAAAAAAAACAAGGCCTCAAATCCTAGAGTGTTAATATGAATAAAGAGGTGGGCCTTCTTTGGGGATATGTGAACTCCATATTATAGCATTAAAATGAAAAGATGCATGGGTACTAGGAACTTCAGGGAGACAAAAGAAGTAATATTTATTTATTTATTTATTGCAATTTTTCTTTTAACATGGGGTATTTAAAACTAATCGGGAAAAATCAAGAATTTGGCAGTGGATTCTGGAAAAGACTATGGCAGTATGGAGAGAAAATACACTAGATCCAATGACTAAGACGAAACTGGGATTTATAGAGCTGTAACTGGATCTTCTGCGCTCAGATGATTAGAACGTGTTAACTCTCTGACCCGACTTTTTCCATCTAGAGACTAGTTAAGACAGTGCAGGGGGAACAGATTCCATTTCTTCTTCTAGAAGATACATGGCATAAAGAAGGTAGTTTTAAATGTTCTTAGTTTCCCCCTCACGATGTCTTTAAACCCCCAAAGTAGGCCAAACACTTCTGCTTTGATCCTGTAATTGGATAAGGAAGATGAATGTGGATCTTGAATGGAGCTCTGAAATATATGCGAGAAAAGGATTGCCTTTGAAGTGATTTTCTTTTTTGTAAAGTGTTATGCTTTGCAGGAAAAAAAGGAAAAGCAAACCCATTCGGGGCCTTTGTATTTGCCAGTCCTGGGGAAAGGTGTAACCCTCCCCTGGCCATCAGGAAACCTGGTGCCCAAGGCTGTGAAGTCTGAAGTGTTGGCCTTGACTTTCAGCAGATTTCCTCATTCCAGGGAAGAAACAATGGACAAGGAAACTGCTACACTTCTTTCTTCCTTTCAAACAAAGGTTTTTGCATGGTAATGTGGCTTTGTAAATAACTGAAATTCCCAGGGCTGCTTCCAGTAGATCTGAGCCACTGAAAGGATAAAGGCATCTCTTTACCCTTCCCCTCCATCTCCACACCCCTAGAAGGGTTTTCTCTGTCTGGCAGCTTCTGGAACATACCACCATCACATCATTTGGCCATATTCTGTACCATTATTTATCTAATGTTTTACTTTAAATCAACTCATTTACATTCAAAAGTAAGAGATTTTATTAAAGAATATGTATGCTATCATAAGTTTGATGTGATAGATATATCTCTTCTTAATGAATGTAGGATAAGTAATTTGAAAAAAAAATTCCCCAGAGTGTTCCCTAAACTCATCTCCATAACCCCACTGATTTGGAGTCTGTGCTTGGGAAGGCCATCCAACAGGGTACAGCCTCTGTGTGTCCAATTGTATATCCTTCCCATGATTTTTGACTTAACTGAAGGGGAAGGCTTAACTCCCCTGGGCTATGCAGATGATCCATTGAATTTGCCACACATGGCTCCCCAGGACAGGCTCACTGGGTTTCTGCTGTGTTCTAGGTGATGTACTAGGTACAGGGTGCTGGGGGAAGACAAGGGGGCACACAGAGAAGGGGAGCAGAATTCGATTCAACATTTTATTAACACTGGGTACATGCAAGACGTACCCAGGCAGAAAAGCCCAAGACACCAACACATATGGCTCTAGTCCCAGTGCTGAGTGTGAGGCTGAGAGAGACACACAAAATGTAATGGGACAGAAGAGGAAAGGGGCACCGTTTTAACATAAAGGAGGTAGTTATTTGAGCAAGGTTTCAAGTGGACACACAGTGATGGGGAGAGGGTCTTCCAGGCAGTGGGAAGAAAGTGAAGAAAGGCAGGGAGGAAGGCGAGTTCGGGGCACATTCTAGGTGTAGCTGCGTGGTCAGGGCTGGAGCCGGAAGTGTGTACCCAGGCCTATGGTGAGGGGGGGTGTGGGAGGCGCCATCTTGAGCCCTTGACTCCATGCTCAGAACACATAGGAGCCCACGCAGGGATATAATGCTTAGTCCTCTTATGCCTACATTTAATTTGGTTCAATTCTATAACATTTCTGAGAGATGAATAGGGCCAGTATAGCAAACCCTCTCTCCCTCCTTTCTTCCTTTTTCCTTTTTATAAAATAGACTGAGGAAAAGAGAAATTAGGGTCACACAGCAACCATGTTCACAAAGTCAGTCTCTTGTTTCTTCCTTTAAAAATGGCATCATTTTAGGAACCCACATGAACCCATATTGGGGTAGCTGAGTAGCACTGACTGTCAACGTAGGCATCCTGTAGCAGAGCCCAGGAGCTTGGCCTGCACGGTCCTGCACACAGGGATGAGTCAGCCCTGGGCCCCAGTAGGCATGAGTCAGGGCTCCTCAAGGGAACCTGCTCATGTGCTTGCTGGGCCTGGGCCTTGTTCCTCTTTATATGCTCAGGACACGGTCTGGTATTGGTCATGTGGCAGGTTATATAAAGGTTGATGGAAGGAAGGTTGATGACTGGGAAGAAGAAGGGAGAAAGGAAGTCATGCAGGAAATAAGGAGGCTAGCGAAAGGAAGCATCTCTCAAAACGAGTCACCATTCACCAGATTTTAACTGGGCATTGACTAGTGTTTTTTCACTTGAGCCCAAAATTTGACACCTGTTGCCTGCCTGGTCTTGGAAAGGTACTTCATCCTATGGAGACTCAATTTCTTCCCATGTTAATGGAGATGACAGTAGTATTTATCCTCTAGAAATGTGAGGATCAGAGACACATTTAAACTCACATATGTACTTTGTAGATTTCAGAACCTTTCACAGAGTGATTATTTTGTTTGCTCAAAATAAATACTCAGTGAAAGTTTATTGTCACTGTTAAGGACTTTCCACAGGTCTCACGAAGACAGACAGCAGAGTTGTGGGTGCTAAACAACGTCTCCATTCTGACTGTGAGCAGAAGGGTAGTGCTTGGCCTCCTGGGATGAGCTTTGAGGTCCTTAGGAAGGAGCTAGTCACTTTGCACAGGGACAGAAGTGGGTGTAGGGCAAGAATGGACCGACCAGATGGGTGCCCCAGGAAAATGGCCATGGGAATGACAAAAAGTTATTTTAATTGCAGAGGAGTTGATTCAGGACCACAGGGAGGGCAGAAGCATCTTCAGCAGGCTAAGCAAGGGTCGTCTCCAGAGACAAGAGCAAGCCAGGTGCCTCAGCTTGAGTTGTGCCCCAATGAGTTTAGTGAGGGGTATTCTGCAGGCAAATGCCCTCTGTCTTCTGGTGAGAAATAAGGTAAGGTGGGCAGGGCCTCATGGCCCAGGAAGGCTGCAGTTCTCGGGATTACCAAGATTTTAGAAAGCTGTTCCTCTAGGCTCTTGCTCCTGGCAAGGGACATCTCTCTGGGTTCTGGTTTCTAGCAGCAACACTGGCCTCTGAATTTGGTATCAGCAGATGCAAGGGGTTAGAAACAGCATGGGGTTTGGGTAGCACATGTGGGGTTTTCCAACTTCAACCCAATCGAAAGATGGTATTGTTCCAGCAATTTCCGCCCTTTGGACTAATCTCCTAATCCCCTGTGCCACAAGAGATGCTTGAACCAGTGGATGTTAATACTGGAGGGGGAGAAGAGAAAAAGGAATTGGATTTTCTGTCCTGTGCAGGGGGAACACTTCAAAAGCCCTGCTTAGAGCACAAGCTGCTGAAAGTGGATCCACGGTCTCCACATTTTTAGAAATGAAAGTTTGAGTCGGATGGCACTAGTATCTTTGAAAATGATGTGGCCAGAAATACACAGGGGTGTTTAAATATTTAGCTCATAAATTGGAAATAAGTCCAGGTTATTGATCCAGTCTACTCAGGAACAGATTATTCAGCAAAAACTAGTTTGATAACAGTCTATGTGGTATCCATACTCAGAAATAAGCCTGTGCAGCATCTTTAATTTGAAAATGAATGATATATCCCAAATTCCTTTATAGAAGCAAATTAATTAGCATCATTTTAATAAGTTAATAAGGATCATTTTTTTTTTCACTTAAGATTACACAGGCACAAATAAATTTCTAGTGTTTCTCAACAACCCATCTTTTTGTCTGTATGATGTTTCTGAAAGAATAGACTTTCCTGAAAGAATAAGAATATTTTAGGGAGCTTCAAGGATGTAGACCTGCATCTGAGATCTGGGTGTCAATCTCAAGCGTGTTACTGGCTGTGTGACTTTGAGCAAGTTACTTAAACTATCTTTACCTCCTCCCTTTCTACAAAAGGGCAAGAGAACCTACCACAGAGGGTTGCTATAAGAATTAAACGACTAATGTTCATGCAGAACTTGGAATGGCATCTGGTATATAGAAAAAAACTAAACAATCATTTCCTAAGTCAATCTACCTTCTTCAAATTACAAG